AGGTAGTTTGAACATTTGCTTCAATAAATTAAGCACAATAGTATTTAGCCACAGTCCCCTCTTTTTTTTTCTTGGCTGTGAAATCCTAGCTTGCTCGTCTTAATCTATGTCAGAGGGTTGATTGAGTTAACAAACCAGCCATTTCTTGGCACTGATACTGACCCCGATGCCTACGATCGGCTGATTGCACTGTGAAAAGCCAGCGCAGGGTACAGCACAGGCGGATTCCCCCTGCAGCAGAGGCAGGGAGAAGTGGGCTGGGGGAGGGCTGTCCTGTGAATCCTTGATTCCTTCTTAGGCTTGTACGACCCGCCGGAGAACGAGACAAAAAGGATTAATGAGACCTAGAAAAAAGAAAGTTTAGACTTTCTGGAGGTGTAGCCTAGCACAGCCTTTGAAGATAAGTATCAGCTTATGGAGAGACTGAAGTGCAAATACGAGTTTCAGCGCAAACATGTCAAAAGAGTATAGGCCTTCGGTGTTGACCTTTATTTCGAGTGGCTGTAACAAAGCTCAGCCTAACCGACAACAATTAATAGAGTATATTCTCTTGCTCGCTGGCTTAGCGAGAGAGCCGTTCAGAGTCCTCAAAGGGATGTACTTTGCAACCTCAGAGACAGCGCATGGGATTGCAGGGCTCGGGAGCCGGGTAGGGTGCAGTTCTCCGGAACCAGATCGAAACCATGGAAAATGGAAAACACTGTCATCTCTTGTGAGCCTGCCCGAGAGCTTCTGTGGTTCTTCTGCAGTCATCTGTTTTCATTGCAAATTCTTCTCCCTTTCCCCCTCCTCTGCCTCTTCTCTGTCGTCTGTGTCTTGCTCGCACACGTGTCCATACATACACACAAGCGTCTCTTCGACATGAGCCACTTAATAGACTTTCTTTCTTTCTCAATACACTGGTTGACTTAACTAGTGAATCTACTTTTATTAAGGATATATTAATATTGGTATATTAACATTCAGGCAGTATTACTTTAGCCAGGAAAATGAAAAGGCATACTTGTTTACCCATTTCTTCTGAAAACCAATTTTCTTAGATTCATATTATTCGAGCCTCGGGTTAGAATTAGAAGGTTGAGAACAGATATGTCCATAGCGAGATACACTTAAGACTAAGCTGATGACCACTGAGCACTAAGTATCAAGTTAGCAGAGATTAGCCATAGCGGCTCTGCCACGCCTGCAGTGCCTTGGACTTGGAGGTACAATTTGGAGGAATATCTGTGCCTCCCCGGCCTCCACTCCCCAGGAGAGATTTTCGTACCAAGTTATTTCAGGACCTCAAAGCTGAAACGGGCTCCTATCCAAGTATATTGTGTGAATTGGACCTTTCCACCTGAAAACTTTATTCACTTTCAGAAAGCTTCATAACCAGGCCTGGGTACCCACGTTTGCAGAACCACCGCACCCCCTTCCCCTTTGCGTCTCTCTCGGCGCCGAAGCCTGTGGCTGCCAGTTCCCCTTGGCAGGGGTGTTCTAGAGCTCCCGACGCCGAACCCTGATGTATTTTTCATCAGTGTTTAATGCTGGCAAATCCCATTTCACGGAGCCCAAGGATTAAATTACTTCATTTGGGAGGGAACGAGTGCATTCTCCATCTTTTTCCTGAGGTGAAAAAAGTCTGAAGCTGAGATGATTTGCATTTCATAAGGGCTTAAGGTCCGGATGTTTTCCACTCGGTGCAACAATCCAATATTGTGAGAGCTTTTAAAGACAATATTAACAAGTAGGGAAAGCTCTGCATATTTCAAATGAGGGAACAAAAATACTCAATAAAATAGATACAAATCAAAACACACACATATATATAATCAAAATGACTCTACAAAGCAGTTTTACCTGCGGCAGAAATGGCGTAATATCTTATAATAATGCCATTGTACCTTTTGCTGAAGTCGAATTCTTATGTTTATTTTTTCATCATAATAAGTGAGTGGCAAAGATTTTGAGGAAATCCAGCAAGCGGTAAATCCAGATGATAAAGAGCGATTTTTTTGTTCTGAACAATTGTAATGAACAGAAGCTTTCTCTCTTCTGAACGGTTGTACTGAGAGAAGAAACATGACTGATTAGAATAATAGAAGGCATATATATCGTTAGGATGTGTTCTGAACCCGAGACCTAAAATTGATTGCTTCTTCTAACTCTGGACTCCCCCCCTTTGCTTCTCTTCTCTGTGTCATTAAGTGCACGGATTTAAATGGCAAATCTGTAGAGTGTCACTGCTGCTCTTTCATGCCTCGGAGGGGCGTGATCTTAAGCACCCTCTCCAGGGCTTCATTGTTCTTCCCCACGGAGCTGGGATAGATTTCACGGAAACCTCCAAGGGAGAGGCCTACTGCTCTGTGAACTATCAAATAGATATCCAATGGCTACGCCAGAATGAAAAAGCCGAAGGAACCGTGAGGGTGGCACTCTAGGCCCCACGCAGCAGTGAAACAAACACTCTTCTGCCAATAAAAGCTTTTAGGAACCTTACTCTGTACCTCCACGGTGTTCAATGTTATGTGGCACACGGAAAAGTAGATGATCTTGCTCTAAGAAACGTGGAGTCTATTTTGGAACCTAAGACAAAAACGGGATATTAGTGGGGTGCTGTAATATTGCAAGCTGTGGAGCCAAATTTATAAGAACGGTACACGTTAAATTCAGAGAAGAGAGTCATTTATTTTCTAGAATAGTGTATTGGAAAGAGTACTGGGCTGGGAATCATCAGACATAGGCAGGCAAATTCATACACGTGGAATGACCGAACAAGTCACTTCATTTCTCTGAGCCTTGGGTTCCTCATATATAAGATAGAGGAGGGAGGAGGGAGGGCTGAACCAGGTGACCCTTATGGTCATTTCCAGTCATGCTTCTACTACATTCGGTGAAGAAATAGCCACTGACATACTATGTTCAATAACGTTTTACATTAATTAATCTCAATTGTTAGGGGGAAAATATCGTATCCATTTTACAAATGAGGGGTTAAAGTTTCACTATGGCAGAGGCAGAACTCAAAAGCAAGTTTGCCATACCCCGAAATTGTGTGCTCTTTCTACTCTGCTGTGTTGCATAGCATTGCACCACACTGCCTTTGGCCCTAAATTTAAGGAGCTATGACCTAAGAGGTAAGCACACTTATAAACAAATCATGGCAAAGCAAGGTGGTGTGTCATAAGTGAAAAATCCAGAAAATGTGGAGGATTCTGGGTCTCGAATCTTGAGGTGAAAAGAGAAATCATTACGGAGATCTGCAATATATAGTAAATAGAGCACTGGTCAGAGAGTCAAGACGTGTGAGTTCTAATCTAGACCATACCACTCACTTACCAAGTGTCCTTGGACAAGCAGTTCTCTGGGTGTCAGTTTTCTCATCTGCAAAATGAGAGGATGTCCACGGCCCTTTGGGTTCCAGCATTCAATGCTGCTTTGATTCCCAAGGATGGAAAGCATGTTCCTGATTATGGTTATGAAGACAAGCCCAGGGGTTTAAAAAAATTAATGAGATGTTAAGTCCTTGCGATGATTTTTTAGTGGATATGGGATTTGGGCTGGGCCTGGAATAATGGAGGTGATTTGGAGAATTCATGAAGCATTTTAGTTCCTTTTAAATATACAAGGGTAGCTAACTATCTAAGGCAATTCTTTCTATAAAGTGGATCGTCTCCACTCCCTTCTCTATCTATCTTTTGTACAACTCCATTTTTCAGCTAGCAAGTTCATTTAAAGGGAGAGCCACCTATACTAGAAAACACAGTGAAGAATTTGTCATGCTCTTGGGGCACTAGTATCATTTTTAAATATGAAAACCATGCCAGTGTGTTCAAAATTCAAGTTTAAAGTGGAAGGACTGAAAGAAGTGATTTTTCCCCCCTCTGTGATCAGCCACTGCAAAGTGTGTCTCCCACAAACCAGCTGAGCCCTTTGCTAGGCATCAAAAGCCTCTGGCATTTCTCTGCGTTTCAACTCAGTCATCTGGGAGGTAGGGCAAAGCCATTGCAGTCGGCAAAGTTTATCCAGAACGTGCTGGCGTGACAAGAAATCATTTGACATCTATTAGGTTTCTCCTGTGGAAGAGAGGTGGCTATCAGCTACAGTAGCAATTTCTTTTCAAAGGGGTTTAATTGGGGTATTTCTCATGGGCCAAATTCTAACTCACTGTCTTTACGGGTGCCTGCCAGGAAAACAGTGGGAAAATACCAAATAACAGCAACAACAGAAGTCTGAGGATCGCTGTCCCAGGCTGCGTCCTCTGCAAATAGGCAGAAAAACGACTGTGTCCCTGCGGCCTGTGCTGCTGTTAATAAGGCAGAGCTCCTAGAGAGGCGTGGCAGGGGGCTCGGGGTGCAGACTGTGCTTTGCGTCACCACGGAGATATATATAATAACCTGAGCACACCTTTTGGCCTGTTTTTACAAGTAGCACTCTGATGAGGGGGGGCTGGCCGAGAGATTCGTGTCCTGCAGTTGAGTTACCCACTTGTGAGCCCCTTTTCTGAAGTACGGATTTGCTCCCCTGCAGGCAGCCTCGCACCCCCTTTTGAGGTGAGCCAGAAGGTGGCCTTAGAGTTTTATTGGAAGTGTTGAATGATTTCCCCTGCAATAAATCCGTGCCTTTCGCGGGTCTTTTCCTAAGTGAGACTTGCGCGGCTGATGGAAATCGGCTCACTTCTGTTCTGTAACTTCGCGTCTTGTTGATGATTTATTTGTTCAGGAGCAGAAACGATGACAAATTGTGCGAGGCGGCCTCATTTCCTTGGGAGCTGCAACGGCCCTGAAGAATTTACATGTAAATGCAACTGGGAACGTTTTACATTTCATGAGCATGTGCGCACGTGTTTTTGAAAGCCAAGTGACATTTTTTACGGATAGACTGAACTTAACTCTCCCCGCCCCTCCCGGGTTATGTGCTTCTGAGATCTGAAGTCCGACAGGCTGTGTTTTCCTGACTGCCAAGCGGGAGAGTAAGTCTCTATTTTGTGTTTTTTTTTTCTCTCTCCCCTTTTAGACATGCAGAGCAGCCCGCACAACCAGTTCACCTTCAGACCCCTCCCGCCGCCACCTCCACCCCCGCATGCCTGCACCTGCGCCAGGAAGCCACCCCCCGCAGCTGACTCTCTCCAGAGGCGATCCATGACCACCCGCAGCCAGCCCAGCCCCGCCGCGCCGGCCCCTCCAACCAGCACACAGGATTCGGTTCATCTGCACAACAGCTGGGTCTTGAACAGCAACATACCATTGGAGACCAGGTACTTGAACGGTTATTGATCCAACTAAACTTCAGGATTAGCAGAGGATGATTCCGCTGAGCGCGGAAACTCATCTCGCCACAGGCGGCTGCAGAGACACCCGCTGGGCCACAGCTGCAGAGCCCCGCACGGGCCCAGATGCGCGCACGGGCCCAGATGCGCGCACAGGCCCAGATGCGCGCACGGCCCAGATGCGCGCACGGGCGCGCGTGGTCCAGATCCAGGCGCGGCAGCAAACGCGAACCAAAGCAGATCCACGTGAAAAGATGAAACCACACATGCCTAAGTACCCCGCAGGCAGGCACCCCCAAAAAACGCTGTTAAAAGGCAATCGCCCCTTGTTCTGAGAAACGGCAGTGTTACGGGAAAATCCAGCGATAGTGAGCATTTTATTTATTATAGGATTCTTTGAAAGAGTCAGTTGCCTTTAAACATTTTAGGACAGGATTGTCTTCGTGAATTGGAAGTCCCTGTGCAATTTTAAAAACTTGATTCTGCCTTTAGGGGGAATGAAGGTTTGGCCTTTTGAGCAAAGAAGTTTGCCTCTGTTTTTTCTGTCCCTTTATGTATTTAGGTTTCCAGATTCACTTCTCAAATCTTTGTCATGTGATTAAAATTCTACTCCTCCACAGCTCTAGGTCCCATGATCATAATATATTTTTAGCACTAGATGCCATTAACTGAGAAACTGTTCATCATTTCCAGTCGCTATCTTAAATCGAAAATTACAACTTTCTACTCACAGAGAAAAACACTACCTAATAAAACACATTATTCTGTTATCCTATAAATTCAAGGACTTCCCCTAGTCTTCTATGTGCCCTATTTAGATCTACCACCAAAGTTTGTTCTAAACACGTTTGTATGTAAACAGTGGGTATGTCACCTCATAAGCAATTTCTGGTGTCAATCCTGATCCTTTGCTATCGCACTGTCTGGGAATTGGAATGGAAATGAGAGGACTAATAAACCCACATTATGAGGCTGGTTATTTTTTCCCTAAGCAGCATATTAAGTTAAATGCCAGGCATGGCATCACAGAATATGTCACCATCAACAAACCGAGAGCACTTTGGCCCAGATCCAGGAAACTCTATGCCATCCATCACTTACTAGATTACATAGTTTCATAACGTGATGTTTCTGCTATCTCCCAAGAGAAAATATAGCAGTCAGCACATAGGGTGAAGATAACCCAATTAGAACCGTGCTAGTGATAGGGCTTGTGGAGAGTTCTTTTTTATTTTTTAATTGAAGGCAGGGAGGCGAGTGAAGTGAGCAAAGCGGCGATTCACGTACAGTACAGTGGGACCNGATCCAGGCGCGGCAGCAAACGCGAACCAAAGCAGATCCACGTGAAAAGATGAAACCACACATGCCTAAGTACCCCGCAGGCAGGCACCCCCAAAAAACGCTGTTAAAAGGCAATCGCCCCTTGTTCTGAGAAACGGCAGTGTTACGGGAAAATCCAGCGATAGTGAGCATTTTATTTATTATAGGATTCTTTGAAAGAGTCAGTTGCCTTTAAACATTTTAGGACAGGATTGTCTTCGTGAATTGGAAGTCCCTGTGCAATTTTAAAAACTTGATTCTGCCTTTAGGGGGAATGAAGGTTTGGCCTTTTGAGCAAAGAAGTTTGCCTCTGTTTTTTCTGTCCCTTTATGTATTTAGGTTTCCAGATTCACTTCTCAAATCTTTGTCATGTGATTAAAATTCTACTCCTCCACAGCTCTAGGTCCCATGATCATAATATATTTTTAGCACTAGATGCCATTAACTGAGAAACTGTTCATCATTTCCAGTCGCTATCTTAAATCGAAAATTACAACTTTCTACTCACAGAGAAAAACACTACCTAATAAAACACATTATTCTGTTATCCTATAAATTCAAGGACTTCCCCTAGTCTTCTATGTGCCCTATTTAGATCTACCACCAAAGTTTGTTCTAAACACGTTTGTATGTAAACAGTGGGTATGTCACCTCATAAGCAATTTCTGGTGTCAATCCTGATCCTTTGCTATCGCACTGTCTGGGAATTGGAATGGAAATGAGAGGACTAATAAACCCACATTATGAGGCTGGTTATTTTTTCCCTAAGCAGCATATTAAGTTAAATGCCAGGCATGGCATCACAGAATATGTCACCATCAACAAACCGAGAGCACTTTGGCCCAGATCCAGGAAACTCTATGCCATCCATCACTTACTAGATTACATAGTTTCATAACGTGATGTTTCTGCTATCTCCCAAGAGAAAATATAGCAGTCAGCACATAGGGTGAAGATAACCCAATTAGAACCGTGCTAGTGATAGGGCTTGTGGAGAGTTCTTTTTTATTTTTTAATTGAAGGCAGGGAGGCGAGTGAAGTGAGCAAAGCGGCGATTCACGTACAGTACAGTGGGACCTCGGTTTCCGAATGTGATCGGTTCTGGAAGCCCGTTGGAGCTCGGGGACGTTGGAAAACCGAGGGATCCGCAGCCGGCAGCCAGGCCTCGGGATCTTGCCCTCAGCGGAGGCCGCGGGGCACGTTCCACTTCCGAGGCGGGTTCGGGAACCGGAGCATTGCCGTCGGGGTTTACGGCGCTCGGACCCCAAATGCTCGTCCACGGAGACGTTCGGAAACCGAGGCGCCGCTGTAGATCTTCAAGGAGTTTTCCCTAACAGTGGTGATTAGGCATTCTTCTTTTAATTCCTTTGCAAGGCTTAGTGACAGAGCTAAGGAAGCACTGGGAATCTGGCTAACTAGTAACCCTCACAAGCAAACACACTCCTTTCCTCCAAGAAGCCAAATATCAGGGAATCTGGGGGTGGGGTGGGGGATGGGCTCAGGCAAATGGAGAGAGAAAACTAACCTTATTTGAAATGTACATCTAGGCATGTTTGTACAACCTACACCCACGGACCTTCTGTATCTATGCAAGGAATGTATTAATTGCTCTCAGTTTCGTTTAAGACGCAGAGAAGAACATAAGTTTTCATGTGAGACTGAGCAGAGATTACCTTTTTAGTATATTTGAAAATATCTTCGGCATCACGAAGATGAATTTAAAAAAAAAACAATCTAGAAAACCTATCAGTCTGATCAGCTAGCGTTTTCCAAATGTGTCCTTTAAGATGTTCTCACGTGCACTCGATCAAAGGTAACTGTGGGTGCCCGACGCCTACTCTTGAGCTGTGTAACATAACCTCTCTGAGCCCCAGCTTCCTCCTCTGGAAAAGTGAATATAAAAGTGCCTGTCTCAACAGGTTGTTAGGAAGATCAAGCTAGTGTAGCAGAAAGTGCTTCATATGTTGTAAAACACTAGACAAATCAAAGGAAATATCACTATCCCTACTAAGTGGCCACCAGCCTCTGCTTAAGTATCCCCATAGTAGGGAACTGATTCATTCCTAAGGCATTCCATGCCATCTCAACAGCTGCTGGAATGTTCTTATTGAACCAGAATCTCCCACCTCTTAACTCTGCCCATTTCTCCCAGATCTAGTTCTAGGGTCTCACAGAATAGATAAAATCCCTCTCACACCTGAAGGCCCTTCAGTATTCCTGATTCTTCCTTTCTCTGAGCTAAATGTTTCTCCCCAGTTCCTTCAGCTGTTCCTCACATTAACTGGTTTCAGATCCTTCATCCTGGCCTCTCCGCACGCTGGTCTCACGCTCCAGTGTGTCCAAATTGCTGCTGAAGTGTCATGGCCAAGGCTGAATGTCGGTGTGGGTTCTTAGTAGGCTCTTTGGTTGCAAGGAGCAGGGGTCATTCAGGATGCCTGGAGAAATTTGCAAACAGCTTTTTGGGAACCCGGGAAATTGTGGTCAATTCCCACTGGAAGGTAAGGCCTATGGGTCTCTGGCACTAAGACGACTCGGCAATCCTTTGCATTTTTGCCCCTCTTGGTCTCTTTCTTTGTCCAGTAGTCTATCCTGAGCTTAATATTTCTTTTGTCTGCCGCATAGTTTCTACTTTGTCCTAACAGCGTCCGGTTTCCATTGCAGCCGCACCCCCGGCACCCCTCCCTCCAGCCCTTCCGCTGCACGTTCCTCTGCTAACTGCCCGATTCTCTTGCTAGGCCTGGGTTTTGTAGGGAAGGGAAGATGATTTTCCTTTTGTAGGTTCTCAGCTGAGACCACCCTATCATAAAGGCTGAACAGGGCTGATCCAGCAAAACTGAGTAATCGCTGAAATGGCCCGAGCCGCCACCTTAAATACCATCTTTACATAATGACAAAAGAGAGATGTTGGGGGTGGGGAGCAAGTTGTGGGAGGTTTTCAGGAAAAGCACAGGGAACAAGAGTAAGCTTGTTATTCCTTCTCCATTGTTAAGGGCACCCCCTGCACCGAAACGGTGTGGGTTCGGTCACCAGTCAGGGCACATACCTGTGTTTCTGGTTCAGTCCAGTCAGGGCTCCAGCGGGAGGCAACTGATCCATGTTTCTCTCTCACATCAATGTTTCTCTCTCTCTCTCTCTCCCTTCCTCTCTCTCTAAAAATGTCAATTTAAAAGAAGAGTCTCTAGAGATTGAGTCACCCTCTTCTTCCTGGTACAGAGAGGGAGACACCCTTACAAATGGAGATTTCCTTTATAAAAGTAAACGCCTCTGACGAAGGCTAACTTCTACTCAGTTTCCAGAGCTTCTCCCGTGTCTGCAGTTTCTTAAAAACAATCAGCCCCAAATAATAAATATGCCAGAGGCATATTTTGGGGTGGCTAATTCTGTTCCCCTTCATTTCAAAAACCTCGGAGAGGGAGCTGGATGAGCCCAGTTCATCTCTTTTAGGCCGCGTTTAAGTTTCTTGGCAAGCCCTGTCCGTTATTCCCTCCGTCAGCTGAGGCTAAGGGGACACAAAGGTCCTGGGATTAATAAAAGCACCAGCATGGTCATCTCTGGCCACCCCTTGAGCACATCTGAAGTGCCTTAGATGGAATGACTTAGATGAAGTGACTTAGGAATGGCCAGCAATCAGTTGTGTCCCTTGTCCTAACTGAATATTTCTGTTAACG